ATTCCAGGTCCCTCGTCAAAGTCGAGATGGAGGACAGCCTGAGTTGTCAGGCATCAACTGACGACAAGTGCGGGGAGAGGGGTCAGGGACACCAGGGGCGCCAGAGGTCCCATGAAGGTGGACGATGCTATTTCTGATGTGCCCAACCACGGCTCCGACCAACCACCAGAAACAGGCCTGGCTGGGTTCCTGGAAAAGCGAATGGCACCTAAAGAAATGCGTCTTTCCAACTCTGCATCTGTCAGTTGCGCAAGAAAGATCTCGAAGACCCGAGCGACGATTGCTACCCCTTCAGGACACCCCTTTGTCTTAGCTCCGCCTTGTTCGTTGATAGGAACGCCCGCTGTATGCATGTCCCATCGTCGAGGATGCATCCGTAGTAGTCGACGGAGAGAACTGGACCACCGTCGACGACGAAGATAAGACGAGGATGGAGGGGTGGAGAAACCCTGGCTGCTGCCGTTGAGAGGATAGGGGGAGCTATCTTCGTCCAACACCTCGTTGACGCCGCCCTTCACCATTTGTGGTTTGTTACCCTTGTCCGCCAGCCACCCTCCGACCTCCTCGGGCACCACCAACCGTCACAGTGCCGAATGGAAAGGACCCCATCGCCCGCTCCCAACCTTTCCCCGACGACAAGGCGGTTTGGGTGGTCAGGCGGTGTGCCTCTTGCGCCAAGGGTCAGTGGCCCAGGGCTCTCGTGGCTCTGACGGGCTCACAGCGAGCGCACCCTGTGGGCTGAGGTACTCCTCCACTTCACAGCCTACGCACGATTCGGTCTCAACGCTTGTCGCACTGCCACACCGCCATTCTGGGAGCGCCCCCGATCAAATCGTGCATCACACGCTTCTGGCGAATGCGGTTGCTGCTGCGCAAAATTTGCGACGGCAATTCGATGCCCGGGGCATGGCAATTACAGGCAGTGCAGTGGTGAGTGCAGTGGTGCTAAAAGTACGTATGTACACGTAGGAGGCTTGGGCATGCTCGACGGCCCGCCTGGGCTGCCCTGCATGCTGTAAGTGGGCGAGCCTGTACCAAGTCAACAGGTGCAGAATCTTCCCGTCGCCTTTGATGCTGCAAGTTGACTCCCACTTCGGGCTATTCTGACGGGCGGCGGCGTTGCACACATGCGGCGGCAGACGCGGCTGCAAGTGTGCGGCTCAACCGTGAATGCCCCTGTATGGTCTCTCGGTGTAGGCTTCTTAAAAACATGGAGCTCTCGGAGGTGGACGGATGAGATTGACTTCAGACGGCAGCTTTATATTCTCCTGTTCCGAGCGGCGACCCTGTCACAGTCATAGATGGAGCCATTCGCAGCATCTGCCCTTCTTGGATGAGGCGTGCGACCGACCGATTTTGATCCGGGCATTCTCTCACCGGGCGAGTCGGGACTGGGAGGATCAATCGTGGTCGCTCTTTGAAACAACATCGCTCACCATAGCTAATGACAGCGAACCGCCGTGTTGCACGCACAGGACATCTAGCAGGAGTGTCTGCTTGATCCGTGACTAATCACCACCTTGCTTACCATGGCCGGGGACATGACGATTCAATCAGGTGCTGGCAGTCGGCATCGCTGCCAGCCCGGCCGGTGTCATCAAGTTCTCTTCGTTCAGGCACCTGGCCATGATCCAGTCTCAACCCTCAAGCCGGGATGAGGGTGACTTGACTGGCATTCTCCTATTTAGACGGCGCCAATCTCATCCGATACGGATCTCCTATCTATGTTCGCGCTCGTTGACGGGAAGTCATCGGAAATTGATGGGGTACACAACTCGCCGTGCTGCTTGGGCGCGCCTTCACCCATATGTCCTTCATACCGATCTCGGATCCCCCTCTGTCTACTCCAGCCCGGATCAGGTCTGCATCTACTTGTCTATAATGCTCTTCCCTGCCCATGAGTTTTCTATTGCTTGAGTCTGGCAAGCGGGATGAACGGCTAGATACAACGGCCCGGCGGATATCCTTGTGGACCTGGCGCCGACGGACGACCCCTGCCGGATTTCAACCTCGGCCCTTGGGCCGGCCGTTGCAATAGACTTGAACATAACCTCACGATATTTGGCTCGCTTTAAGATCGAGTCCCTTCAACATTGACCGCTGCCATGATGAAGGATCATCTGCCCTCCCGCCTGCTCGCTCCCGTGGTGGCCGTTACCGCTGTCGGCCTCACCGCTTACCTCTATCTCCGCCCAGCCCTCATCCGTGACCCGTCCGCGACGAAGCCTCCCGCGCCGGCCCGCTCGCCGAAATGGACCGTTCTCCCATCCCTCTCAACCCTACAGCGAGATGAGCTGCCGTACCCACCAGATCTGCTCCCCGGCGGCCGCGACGTCGACACGCCCTACGGCTCACTGCGTGTGTACGAATGGGGCCCGAAGCGGGCGAGAAGGTGCTCCTCCTCCACGGCATCGGGACGCCGTGCATCGCATTCGGCGAGATGGCGCGGGCGTTCGCCGACGGCGGCCATCGCGTCATGCTCTTTGACTTTTTTGGGCGCGGCTACTCCGACAGCCCACCGGACGTGCCGCACGATGGGCGTCTCTACAACACCCAGCTACACCTTCGCCCTCGCCTCGTCGTCGCTGCCCTGGTCGGGGGCAGGACGCTTTCCAACTTCGTCGGCTACTCTCTCGGCGCGCCATCGCCGCCTGGTTCGCCCGCCAACGTGCCCACGCCCTGGCGCTCGCTCCGTCTTCGTTTGCCCCCGCCCGGCTTGTCCGCCCGGCGCCACGGTCTCCGCGCACCAGGCCGCCTGGCTGAACTCGACGGCGTCCCCCGAACCCGCAGCTGAAGCTAATATATCATAAAAATAGAAGCCGCCGGCCCCCCGTAGACCCCGAGGCCCGTCCTCGACGATGACGTCGCTGGCGAGAGCGACGCCACGGGCGGGGCGACGTTTGACAATGCGCTGCTCGACCTTGCGCGGCCCGAGCTGACGGTTGCGCGGGTCATACGGTGGCAGCTCGCGGCGCATCCGGGGTTTGTGCCGGCGTATCGGAGCACCATCCGGTGGGCGCCAATCTATGGCCAGGGCCAGGGGGAGTGGGCGCCCCTGAGGGGCATCCTCGAGGAGCGGCGTGCGGGGCGGGTGAAGAACGGGCTCCGGGGGGGCAGGGTGTGCTTTGTGGTGGGCGAGACGGATCCAGTCATCGTGGCCGGCGAGCTCGAGCAGGATGCGAGGTTGATGCTGGGGGAGGATGCAGTTGATATGAGGGTCGTCAAGGGGACTGGGCATGAGGTTGGCATCACGAGGGGCAGGGAGGTTGCGGGCATTGCCATGCGGTACTGGCAGTCCATACAGGCTGCGCAGTCATGCTCATGATAACGACGAACTACTTAGACGTATATAGATGTCAAGCCATTTCGCAAACAAGATCAAAATCATGACCTGTCGTCCTAAGACATGTCTGCACATGGGGCAGTCTCTCATCAGGGCATACACACCGCAGTGCTGAAAGACGAAATAACAAAAAGGATTTCTCCTTCATAGCGCCGGTCTCGAATCTGCAGTCCCCCCACGCGCTTTCCGGCCTGCGCGCCCTCGCATATAGAGGCATGCGATCAGGGTATTTGTTTAGGGTAACCTCTAGGACCACTACACCATGCGTCACGGTATTCGCGGCCCTTGTTGACAGCGGTGGCAGGGACGAGGATGTATAAATCGTCCGACGCGGGAAGGAGCCCAGGCAACGCCATGGCAACCGGTGGCGTTGGCCTGTTGGACTCGACAAGAGCTTCTCTATCGGGCCATGTCACGCTCACATGTTTTCGAGGCATCGACCGTAAGTCCAGGGTCATATCTGGTTTGAAGTATGCTGCATTCATGCTTCTATCATGTACATCGTCATGTGTTGTTTGGTCGCTGCTTGTAGCCTTTACTGCCCGCCGTTTCTATAGGCAGACCGCCACCTCGCCGCTCCGATCTATCCCTTGTCAGGGTTCGGTTCACCAATGTACCAGCTTGCATGCATGCTCCGCGCTTGGGGCGCGTGCTTGCACGCCGCCTCCTCAACCGTTTCTATTTGTCCAGGCCGCGCGCCTTGATGAACCTGTTGAGCTGCTCCCTCGTGAGCTTGTCCTGGTACTGCTCGTGGCACTCGTAGAAGGAAATGAGCTCCTGCGTGCAGTCGACCATGGCCGTAATGTCGACGTTGCTCTCGGCGAGCCACGCGCCGAAGCGCTGCACCCTGCCGATGCGCGCCTCGGGCTGCTTCTCCTTGTCGGCGGGGTTCGGCGTCGTCGGCGCACCGCCGGGCATCGAGAAGCCGGCGGGCCCGCGGCCGCCCTGCGACTGCGTAAGCGCGGCCGTCGCGGCGGCGATGCCTGACGTCGTCGTCGGCTGGGCCATGCCCGAGGACGGGCGCAGCACGAGGGCCAGCAGGATGGCCGTCAGCGCAACGGTGTGCGGCGGAAACAGCAGCGGCAGGTCGGTCATGTAGTGGTCGTTGATGATGGACCAGGCGAGGGCCGTGTCCTCCTGCGTCAGGGCCAGGTCGCCCTGAAAGGCGGTCAGCGTGCGGTAGGGCTGGTGGACGATGAGCTGCGAGCTCATCTCGCTGATGAGGAAGAACTCGCACTCGCCGAGCTTGGACGTGTCGAGGGAGACAAAGTCGGGCCACAGCGAGCGGGCCTCGCTGACAATGAGGCGGATGTGCTGCGGGCACTCCTCCATTTTACAGGAGAGGTAGACGGCCGTCGCGATGACGAGATAGACGTTGGTGCGTCGAATCTCGATCTTGGTGTAGAAGCGCTTGATGTAGACCTGGGCCGTGGCCATGGCCTGCTGGCGGACACCTAGGCGCTTGCCGAGCCGGTTGATTTCTGGAAGAACAGGACAGACACGAGTAAGTCAAGGGCCTCGCCAGTGAGAAGACGCACGAGGAGAGATGCCGCACAAGGGTCAGACAAACGTTGGTTGAAGTAAATGTTCAGATGGCGCACCTGAGGCAGAGGGAACAGCTGGACGAGCTCGGTGTTCTCGTCCTCGAGCTTCTGGCGCATGGTAGCCAGGCCATCCTTGGTGAACTGCCAGTATCGCCGCTGGGTCGAGTCCCAGAAGTTGGCGGCCATGTCACTGTCACGTCGTGGACATAGTCATTCGACCGTAGCGACTCTGCTCTCGGTCCGGCGAGTCGAGCGGCAACGTGGACGGGACGGTGTTTGTTGGTTCGAGAGATGATCGGTGTTGGTGGAGGCCAGCGGAATCGGACGTTGCAGCCGGGTCCAACGAGGCTGTGGCTCGTACTCTGTGGCTCATGCCCTGTGGCTCATGCCCTGTGGCAGCAGTGCTCGAGGCGTGTCAGGAATGGTCAGCAGGAGGCGCAGAGGGCGGGGGGCCTTGGGGGGGCTTAGGGGGGTGTAGTGATGACATGTGGCGCAAACTGGTCACTAGACGCGGGTACAGCTGTGGCTGCGGCCTTGGCATGCGGGAGTGCTTTTTCTTGGTCGCTGTCGCGAAACTACGTCAATTCCCTTTTGTGGCTGTGACCCCAAGCCCCGAGGATAGACACACGCACCGCACTTCAATCCAAAGGCGTCCCTGCCCTTGAGATACTTTTCGACGCCATCGACACCGCCGACCCAACGACGTCTCGCGAGCCAACGCACTATGGCTGTCTGTTGACCTTGACCCGACGACATTGCCCTGCCTTGCCGTGCGCCCCATGAGGCTTCGGTCGACTTCCGACCCTCGACCCGCCGATTGTCGTCTCCTCATGCCGCCGCTGCGATGGGGGTGACACGCCTTGTATCCGAGCTCGAGCTGGGATGGATCGAGTCGCAGAACCAGCGTGACAAGCGCATGGAGGAGCTGTGGGCCAAGCTGGACACGCAAAAGTCGGGCTTCCTCGACTTCAAGGGCCTGCAGCGGGGATTGAAGAGGATTGATCATCGTCAGCCGCCCTGTGTTCTGTTCCTCGCTCTCCTTGTCCTGTGCTGATGTTTGCGAGCCGTAGCCATGAAAAATGCGGGAGAGATGATGCGCCAGATCCTGTCAAGGGTCGACACAAACGAGGACGGACGGATCGACTATGAAGGTGCGTTCACATGAGAGGCCAACATTTGTTGGTGTGTCTCCGTATCCAAGGAGGGGTCTTCGCTGACAGACGCTTCTGCAGAGTTCCGGACGTTCGTTGAGCAGACCGAGAAGCAGCTTCTGATCCTGTTCCACTCGATCGATCGGGACAATAACGGAAAGCTCGACAAGGCAGAGCTGCAGGCGGCTTTCAAGCGTGCTGGGCTCGTTGTGCCGATGCGGAAGCTCGACGCCTTTTTCAACGACATTGACCTGAACAACGACGGCTATATTACCTTTGGCGAATGGCGGTATGTGAGACCTTGGTGGCGCCTTCGTGACCGTGCTGTGTGGACGTGAGGGGACTGCGAGCTTGCTTATAAGAGCTCCTGGTGGAACGCCCTCGTCGTGGTGTGGATGCTGCCTGAGAATACCGAGGCTGCGTTTTGCCCATTCACGCGCAACACTATCCTGTGCGCAGTTGGCTGACCTCTTCATTCACTGCATTAGGGACTTCCTGCTGTTTATGCCGGTGCACCACGGCAATGCGCCGCTTGAGGCTGTTCTCAGCTACTACTCGTCGATTGTCACCCTCACTGCCGAGGGCGACTCGATGGTATCGGAGGAAACACTTGAAGGCTTAGGTACGACCGGCTTCCTTCTCAAAACTCTCTTTGGGTCTATCCTGCGGATTGCCTGCTCTGCGGAGAGGGACAACGAGCCCATCGAGATGCAGCATAATTAAGCAGATTTCACGCCATTCCTCTCCAAGGAAACGAGTACTACTATATAGATGACAACGTATGGGATGTCTTTAAAGGAGTCTATGAGGATGGGGTTAAGAAAAGGAAAGAGCTCGCTAGAATGAAGAAGTAATGGAAGTCAATTGTTAATT